CGAACGTCTGCCGCTTGACATTGCCTGTATGTTGAACGCTCGCTAATTTACCTAGGGAGCACGCGAACTGGTAGCTCGATTCATGTGTTTAGACAGTGGTGCCACCTCTGGTGGTTGAACTAACCACGGGACTACTGCAGGTGTCATTGAATTAAGGGAAACCGCCGAGTGATTAGCGCTCGAATTCACAATATCTAGTCACAAATCAACAACCTCCACCTTATTTAGTCCACATACTTCACCATCCTTCTTGTCTTCTACGGAGCAGCCAACTTAGGCAGAATCTTAAATGAATACAGGGAAGAAATGGAAGAAGCGTGAAGGAACGAGTCCGAAGACTTGGCCGTCGGGATAAGAGATGAGGGATATGAGATTTAGACATATGGACGCCGCAGTTGGAATAGCTCTGGACAAAATTTCCTTGTAATATCCATCTCCCTGAATCTTGCCGGGTTCGAGTCAGGGAACCCCCTCCATGTGGGAAACTAGAGCAAAAACAACTGATAACTAGTTATGGTCTAGTGCAACTCTCCTTCCATTACCATTTGCATTACTGCTGTTCGCCCGACGCACAACACGGTCAGTCGATTACCTTTTGGCACTATTATCCAAATTCGAACTACTGATTATTAGTTAGTGGTATATATTATTTTGCTGATTACGAAAATGGTCAGTGCGAAGTTTTCACAGGCCTAACGCTGTCCGCAACACGCAATTCCGCTGAGTCCGACGGGTTTGTTTTCTAGGCGTAAGCGGTCAAGCCACTGAACTCTGAGTGACTGAATGGGCCAACTTGAGTACTTACCAGATGCTACGTAGCTTAGCTTGTGTTTTCCTTGTATCCTCATCCTGATCGTAGGTTCCGAAATTTGCTTCACAACCTATGGATGCATCCACGACCGACGAGTCCACACTCCTCCATCTGCTCTGGGTGCGCACAACAGTCCAACTATTCTCACAGATTGGGTATATTTCCTCATTGTTTATCGGTACTCCTGCGTGAGACCCCTTAAGCTAGGTCTCCACGCTTCCACACTCTGAGCATGTTTGACGACCGACTGTTTGACCAGTGTCGGACAAGCCGTGAACCCAGTAGGTGTTTGAGTTGACTGGCGAGACAGAGGATACTTCTCGGACAAAAGCAGTTATTCGGTGGTTGGTAGTAAGGCGGTGTTTAAGACTCACTTCAACTTCACAGCAGCTGGTGAGTTCGTCACCCTGTGAGCATCACAATGGGCCGTCGTACAAGATTTTGATGCTATATATATATATATATATATATATATATATATATATATATATATATATATATATATATATATATATATATATATATACATATATATATATATATATATATCCAATAGATAACCTCGTCCGTAACCATGGGAAGCAACAGAAGATAACATGCATAGTTGTCAAAAGTAAAGCAAAGCACTTTTGTGGTTTTTCCACCTTTTTTGATTGTTAGCCACTAAACATTTGAATCCGATAAATTATGCACTCAGATCTTCAACGGGTTTCCGTTGCGCGTTATATCTAGAACCCTTTCAAGTAATCGATACATCTCATCCTCCAGTTCAAAATCAGACATGCGTGTGGATCCACTGGCGGCTAGATTGAACTCAACAACTCCTTATGCCGTCACCAGGTGGGCGGATGACCACGACGTGGTCTCTTCCAGTCGAGTCCTGCACGAGCCAACACAGCACGATGGGTATGCGCTCAGGTGATATATACAGGACGTGACCGAGCCATCTTAACCGGTTCACCAAAACTACCTGGCTGAAGAGAATAGTAGCATTCTCTGCCACACAACGTCTGCCTTCACAGTTGGATATAAGTAGTTGACACTACACACCAGCAATCCTCTTCAAACCCCCATTGTCGAAGGCCGAGAACCGGCGCATATCAGTACGCGAACTGATACCAGTATGATAGACACAGACCACGTAAGCATTAATAGCTGAGTCGGTGCCTCCCACGCCTCCATACTCTAAGCGAGTAACGTTCATTCCAATGACCTAATCAGTTATGCTGTGTGGATCTGAATAAATTAACTCCTCCCCACACACATTTGACCTCTTTGGAGCGGTCCATGATGCAGCCTCACGAGATATAGTCTTTGTCAGTCTAAGTGCCTGCTGCTCAGCTGAGAAGCTGCATCAGAAGTGTGTGTGCAATGCACGAAATGACAGCATTATTTCCTATTCCGCGTCTTCCGCGACTCTTGATCTTCCTGATTGCACACTTGGTCCTATTCGTCACTTCAGACTGGATTAATTGACTTAGATCGCTCAACAAACAATCAACAACAGCAGTACATCAGCCATTTGAACTGATGTTTCGCTGCCATACAACCATGACGACTTATGAAATAAAGAAGAAGAAGAGGAAGAGAAGGCGGACTTACCTGAAAACCTTAATGCCCTAAGCAAACATTCAGGGTTAAGGCGCCTACACCTTGTGTTAACAACATACCGTCACTAACAGCTGGCTATCGTGCAAAGATAAGGCGGCATCGGCGAGAGAGCTTCCTTGCGGCTTTCACTGCCACGCGTTATAATCAGCCATTACCCCGCAGATAACTCAGCACCAAACACAATTTAAACAGGCAATCCGATTAGGAGACGGCAGCAAACGCACCACTGGTTTCGGTTGCGAGCCATGTCCTGTAAAGTCTCGAGCCAAGCATAAGGCGAGTCACGTGGACTCCAGGCCGGAATGCGAGACGGACCAACGGCACCCAGTTTGGTCCTCAGTGACTTCATTTCCCGCTGCCAAGTAAACTTCTGTCCCTCTCAATCTTTTCGCTATCCTTCACCTGGCAGACTAAACAAGGCCCTCCTAGGTAATCGGTGACCAGATATCCGTGGCACCTGTCCAAGCCAACGCAAATTATTCAGTGCAAGCTGTTTTTCTATCGAGCTAGCATGATTATCACTGTCTAGTACTAGCCTACGCACATCATCTTTGCGGACACGCTGGTGCCATCCGACTCCAGCAATGCTTCGCAGACAACGATGATCAAACAGTTGAAGGCGTCTCAGCTCATCAGACCGAAGGGGCCAAGTTTCACTACTGCCGAACAGAACGGCGTTCGCTGTGGCCTTGTATACACCACCTTTCAGACGGAGGGAATGTCCCTTCTGTCGTCAAAGATGCCGCAGGCTCAGGAAGGCAGTTCTGACCATTGCAACGCTTGAACTTCAGTTTCTAGGTGCCCATTGTAGCTGATGCAGCTGCCAAGCGGCTGCATAAAGTGAATTAATCAACCACCTCGAGTTCCTCGTTAGCAAGCTCAGGGGGTCATCAAGTGGCTGGGGCTCCTGCAGCCACACTTTGCACTTTGAAGATGCGAAGCGCATATCAAATAATGTGACCACTCGAGACAGGCTATTCAGGTTGATTGTGCCGCCCCATCATCGTCGAAAAGCAAGGCGATATCGTATGCATAATCAAGATCAACTAACCTTTCACCAGACATGACCTCAATGCCTACATCATGAGATTCCGCAATGGAACACTGCATGATAGAGTCTACAACGAAATTGAACAAAAATGGGGAAATCGGACAACCCTGACGAATGCCACTTGTGGTCGGAAAGCCATCCGACAGGTTGCCGTAGACGCTGACGCAGCCTGTAGTGTTCGAGTATAGGACAAGTAGGATGTTCATATATTTCGTGGGAACACCTTTACGCGCAAGTATTTCGAACGGAATGGATCGATCGACTGAGTCGAACGCACTCTTGAAATCGAGGAACATAGCTATTGTCGGTCTGCGGTATGTGTAGCGCTGCTCTAGCACCTGCCGAAAAGTGAATATATGGTCTATACAGCCACGTCCTGGGCGGAAACCGGCCTGCTCTTCCCTAATCCGAGATTCCCGTTCCGCAGTGAGGCGACGAATGAGAATGGAGGCTAGTAATTTTATCACAACTGGCGTTAGGCTAATAACCATTAGTTTAAAACAGTCTGTGCTACTGTCCTTCTTGTATATTGCCACTATAATCGATTCGCTCCAATTAGCCAGGACACTCCCTTCCTTCCAGATACTTTCGAATAGGGAGGTCAGTGATTTGCAGAGGACCTCACCTCCATCCTTAAATAGTGCAAGTGGGTGGGAATCCGGGCCAGCGGCATGAAAACCATTAAGATCTGTGATCGCGTTTCGGACGTCGGCATCCGACGAAGGCTCTAAACTAAGTGTCCATCACCTGAGTAGGAAGAGGTCCGGGAGCAGGTGGCCAGCTAAACTGATCTTGAAATTGTTCTACCCAACGAGCCATACTGTGTTCCTTATTGTGTATCAGTGTACCCGAGCTGTCTCTGATTGTCTCATTGATGCCTGTTTTCTTGGGACGAGTGGTGCGGATCAGCTGGAAGAGCTTGTGGTAATTGCCTACTGCTCCTTCCTCCTCCATTTCTTGAGCCCTACTGGTACACCAGGATTCCTTGTCTACACCTAGGTTCCGCTTTAGTTTGAGCCTAATAACCCGTCTGGTCACATTGTGCTCGAAGCCAGCCTGGACGTTTCTTCTAGATTCCAACAGGTTCACCGACTTTTCGGATATCCAGTGACTGTGCGGTGACGATTGATAGTGCCACAAGCAGATGCTCCTGCGCCTTGCATGACAGCCGAGATCCTATTCCACTGAAGCTCAGTGTCATTAGGATAAGACAGCGAAAGTTCGGTACTCAGTGCGTCTTGTTAGGATTGTCTGACCGAGGGCGACGTAAATCCCTACTTCTCACCAGCTCTCAAGCGCACTATTGTGGTCGATTCATCCACACGCCACTACCCATGTTTCATTGGTTGTTTGAAACACAGAAACTCTTTTCTTATTGATTATGTGAAGTCCGGACGGTTAAAATTGTTTATTCTGTGTGTTGAGTTAGTTACCACTTGTTTGAGTACGGATACACATCCTGCTTTTTTCTGTTACCTTCTTGATACAATACGCGCACATTTGTTTATGGTTGTTTTCGCAAAGCAGGATCTGCGGAAGGAACACCGTTATACAAAGTTTCCCTGGGCGAATATCCCGAGTTCATGTCGCCCCTGAAGCAACGCTACGTGGTAAAAGTGACTCCTGTGTTTAAAAGCAAGCAGTCCGACGGAACAATCAGAGGAAAAACGGTCGAAACGGAGTTGATGCGAGGGAGTCTAAGTAAGTTGCAATTTCATTTCAACTTTGGGCCAGTTTTCCACCGTTGCGCTCCAACACTTACCTCCTCCAATAATACAACGAATTAATCTAGCTCAGTTGATTTTATCCATTAAAGTGCTTTTCCTTTAAACTCGACTATTTTATCGGTACATTTACGGTATGATTGCGCTCGATATTTCGACTTTTACACTGATGTTATTTATCAAAGTATTCATCTCGGCAGACGTTCGGTAGATGACCCAGATATGTTTTGATTTCATCGTATTCACCTCAACCATCCTACGGGACGTGTCAAGCGCTTGCTTTATCCCGTGATAAATCATTGTTCTTTGTTCATTGTTCATTGTTCATCAACAAGCCTGAAGGCCACGTACAACGTTACGAAAGTCAGTAAGGGTTTGCTGTTTTTCCCAAGCATTGCTCTTACTGAACGGTGTGTCAAAGAAACTGTTGCCTTTGCATATCCACAGCTCTCCTGGTGTCGATAACATTCGACCGAAGGCTTTACGGTGATCTGGCGCAATCACTGGCTAAATTTTATCAGCGCTTTATGCAGTAGAACCATATTCCAACAGTATGGAAGCTACTGGTCCTCACTACTCTTATTAAGGGGGGGGTCGCACTGACCCAACCAATTACCGTCCGATGACGCTACTCCCTGTGCTTTCCAAGGTTATAGAGTCTACCATCACTGATGCACGCATGCAGGAGCTGGAAAATCACAAGCTGATAGCACCAGAGAAACACGTCTTCCGACGAAATCGTTCATGCACTACGAACCTGCTAATTGCACGCAATATCTGGACAGAAGATGTTGATGGTAGAGCAGGAGTCGATGTCAAAGAGCGTTTGATCGCTTAGCGCACGGAATTCCCCTCCGCAAACTTCAGATCTATGGCGTTGGTGAAAGACTGCTGCCTTGGTTAGGTAATTTCCTACACGAACGTCGGTTGACTGTGATTGTTTCCAACCAATAGATGACCGATGAGAAACCACATCATGATCATTCCTAGGCTAGCGTTGTATTAAAACCTGCCATCTCTTCATTTTATAGATACTGTGGATCCGCTCTAGTTAGTGTATTGTAGAGATAGTTGAAGTGGAACGTTGAGTACTATACTCCAGGATCTTCTATAGTAGGACCGATAGTAGCGTTTGACACCGGTTGCTTGCTACCAAAATTGCCTACCGGATAGGGAGTGTCAGTCCTTTTCTGTAATGAGGACTAGTGGGATTTCTAACACCGGCGAAATCGCGCAGTTATTGCATAAAACTCATAGTCGAACGTTGCACAATAACTTCCAATTCCCGTGAGTATTGCATATTAAGGAGGGCGTTAGCGAATCCAAAGTTATGAAGCCCACTCACAACGTTTAGCACGTTCGTCTCGAGTTAACTGCACAGAGGTACTAAGGTTGTATGATTCTGTCACGTACCTCTCTACTTAGCCTAGTTAAAGTAAAAATCAGCGTTATGGCCGAATATCTCACCATTTTGTGACAACCGAGCGTAAACTGCTGCGGAATGGTTCACGTTGATTTGTCAAAGGCATTAGTTGTGATGAGTGTCATACGCAAAACGTAGTTGTGTACATTTCATGCTCTTCTGGTACCTTATACACCAAATGTCCGTTCTGGTATGGGAACCACGCGTCAGACAGGTAGCGTACTTAGTAATTAATTGACCTGGTATCTGCTAAACGAAGCATACGATGCAGTTTACACGGCTGCTGTTATAAGCTACTAGTTTATCTCAACCGAAGATTCCTCAGTGACAAATAATTGGGTTAGCAAAACAGAGATATTGGAACAATGGAACAATGGTTTATTACGGGTAAAAAGCATTGCGTAACAAGTCCCGTGGGATGGAAATTATTGCGAAAAGTGAATTGCATGATAAAATGAAAAGGGTTTTGGTGGACTCACCATAGACTTATGTAGAATAGCGAAGATGTTCGCGTATTAAACGTATAAATCCATAAATCCATTGGTTGGGAGTTTGGCAAGACACCGTTTGATTGCGTTTTGTAGCCCCTGGCTAACAAGTCATAAAATGAAATGCAAATGAGACAACGCATCGTCAACTCGTTTTTAACTATCGCCAGATTGGGAGCAGAGACGACATAATTAGGGAGGACTATCCAAGGGAGTCACATGCGAAAAGAAATTGCTACGGCTTTCAGGCCGGGTATGCTGAATTGCTAGTTTCAGAGGGTGACCTCTTAGGTTAGTGTTGTGATTCAATTCCAGCAGCGGACGACAAATCTGGTTTGGTTTCTTCAGAATTTAGTATCCCATTATGAGATCCCCGCAAAAGCCGCTATAGACTACTGTACATTCTTAGAAATTTCAGTCTAAGCTGACAGGGCAGATGAAAGAGGCCTCTGACGTTCCTGGTTGCCCTTCATTGAGGAGTCTCGAGAGCAAGGAGATCCAGTTTCTGCCACGGCTGCCACGCCTGAATAGCATATTCCACGTACGGTCACACGTAAGCGTTAAGCATTTGGGAAAAGATTGAGGGTTCAAACCTACCGAAGACTATGTGAAGAATGCCGAAGTGTTAATTGCCGGTTCTCTTCGCCATCTTTGTTTGTTTTGAACACCCGAGATCTTCCTTTACCAGTACACCCAGGTCACGCTCCTGAGAGACCTTCTGCAAGATGTGGTGTCCAAGGTTGTAAGCGCTCACCGGCTGCTGACGCAGATGGATCCCTTTGCACTTAGCTATGTTCGATTGAAGCATGTTCCTCTTTGACCATTCGTAAATGCAATCTAGATCATGTTAGAGCATATCGTGATCTGGCTTGTTACTAAACGCCCGCCATATCTTGACGTCATCGGCGAAAAGCGGGAACTTTGTGGAGAAAACTCGTGCCAGATATGTTTGCTGTGCTGCATCAAAAATAACCGTCGTATCCTTAAAACGAAGGACGATCATTATCTTGATCGTCTCAACTGAATTCGCATTACCCATTGCATGGCTTTCAAGCGTTGTTGACCGATAAGCTGGGTTGCGTGGGCGGATGGCTATCATTGATACCTCCAAAGGCGATGGTCTGCTACGTTCCTTAGTGATTGGCTGCCGGGTTATACTTTCGGTTTCGTACCCGTTTTGATTGGCCGCTTTCGTGTCTCGTGATGTAAACGACAGCTGCTCTGTATACTTATCAAATCGTCTCTCTAGTTAATTACTTTGAAACCATGAGACAGTACGACCTATTGTCCCCTTTAAAATTGGGTGTTTTTAATTATTTGCAGCTGAGACTACTTTGAAAACTGATCAATCAGTGTCTAGTCGCACAGCTCGAGTCTATGTGATTCCAAGTCAACCAGCTCCTTGCCTTCGCAATAATCCGTTAATGACTGCTGAATTTGATCTTCGGCTAATCGGAGAGGATACGGCCAAGCCTGATTACCTCAAACAAGTCATCTTCGAACCCGACACACTTGAGAAACAACTGGACTACGGTCGATGGTACACTGTACAAAACTTGCAACCAGGACGGAGATACGAAATTAACGTAAGTTACTTCTATTTATTTTGATGTTCAACATTAATAAACACGAGAAAAGCCATGATATCCAAGACTCAGCAAGGCACATTCTCTCTGTCAGATGATGGACTTGTACTTACAGTAAAAATTGGGCAAACGGATATTTAAGCCCCTGGGTCACAGCGGATGTCCATCGCCTCTTGGTTGCATCTAGCCTCTGTTTCGCTTCGAAGCTAAAACCTTACAATTAAAAGTGCTAAGTAAATTCGTTAACTATAATGCCTTCAGAACGCCTGCAGTGGCTAATAGACAATTCATGCACACCCCAGCCACAAGACGGCCATCAGTCGGTGTGCTATCGATTCAGTATGATTTCAACGTATCGGAAATGGTAGATCACTTCCGATTGAGCGAATTTCAAAATAGTACAAGGGTGCGTGGGTCTATGACCTCTTAGGAGGATACATTTTTTTGGCTTGCTGCGCTCTCTTTATGTACGGAAATGGGATACTATTGCAATTGAGCAAAATAAGGACCTTTTGGATGCTGCCCAAATGAAGATGTGTTGTCTCAAGTCTAAATGCACCACGTGACCTTTTGTACCAATTACACAAACTAAAGATTATACAATCCATGGGCATTTGAATGGACATGTTGCATACACCGAAAATTTTACGGACTCAAAGACGACTCCATTTATTCGAGGGCCCCCCAGACCATTTGTTGCCACCTCCGCTCGTACACTGAACGCGTCGTAGGCGTTACTGTCCATCCGACTATAGGTACTCGGCGTCGCCTCTGCTGTGTGGGCTAACTGGTGGTTCCACGTGCGCAAAGCGAGCACCTCACGACTGATTGTCGTTGTTGTTGTCGATGAATCGCTAATGTTCATCATGCCTGTAAAGAGTCATTAGTCATTCCGCAGAATATAGGGTTCCAGGCGCGTCGTGCCTTTGTTCTGATTGCCGGTCGTAAGTGTTTCCGTGGTACTGATACTGAGGTCGAGTCGCGGCTAGGCCTACTAAGCATATTGGGACACAACAGCCTCCAAATGCCTCCAACAGATAGTTAATGTACAAGCTGTGCGATTGGTAGCGTACGGTTATGCCTGTCATAAGTGCTAGTGTCGTTCAAAAAGATGGCCTATTCCAACGGTTATAAATGCATCTACCTAGTTTTACGATGCATAAATTATACCGTATTATGCTAGCGACGCGACGGTATGGTCACACAGCAAGATGTAGTCTTTATGCCAAATTGCAGCATTGCTTTTGTGAACTCACCAAGTGAGACAAATCCCCAACTCTTACACTAAATGGGCTCCAAATTGACATTTCTCTACATTTGATCTGAAATCCCTGTTGATAGTTCTCTGACCGCGCTCAGATTTATCTCAATAGTGCCGTAATGCACAAAGTAATTAAAATCCACATTGCCTTCAGCAAATAGGACCTCAGACGCTTGGCCAATGAAACAGCCCCTACGATGCCAGTGAGTAGTTCTATTCCGCATAGCGAAGACTCAACTTGATTGCCCCGGAGGAGCAACCCCGTTGACCCCCAGGCCTAAATGTTTTGCCCGAATGTCCAACTTCAATGGAAAATGGTATAGACGATGTGTCTGAAGGTATAGGTCGAATACACAACATACTCCACTGCCCGTTTTGCACTTTTCGCATTCGTCCAAATGCGGCAGAAAACCTGTCATTCAAACCGGATACGTAGGGAATACTGACGGATGTCCATGTCTCTGCGCCACTGAGCAGCGGGTAACGTTTATCAGTGGCTAATGATTTAAGCTGGATCGGGTCACCACAGTTCAGCCATCTTCAGCTGCGGAGTGCAGAAAGCGCGGAACTGGTCGTGGAGCGCAGTGACACCCAGTTGGTGACACCCAGTAATTATCTGCTTCGGCTTAAGTCCCAGTGACAAAAATATTTCAATTTCACTTCACGAAAACCACTCTCTCGGATGAGGTTGTGTGTTGTAATCCATTCAAACAACTGGAGTTTCAAATAAATAAAAAGTGGAATTGATCCATTACAATATTGTGATGTGGAATTGGCCGGCAGTTACGTAATTGTGAAGAGCTATTCAAAGTATAGTTGGAGGCATCGGTTTGTTGACTGAACCGTCAGTACAAATACGTATTCCCACAGATCATGTGTGACCTGAATTTCGGCATTCATAATTCCCTCTACACAACCGACGTTCAAATGAGGAACGCAACATTTTAGCTAACGTAGCTTATCACTAAGGCTACTTATCAGGTATAAGACAAAGCACATCCATAATCTGGAGGGTTTCGGTGTGGTTCTCTCTTATCCATTCACTCCACTAGGCTGAAGGTTTTATCCTGAATTGGATTCCTCAAGTAAGGATAGCGGAACTGGGTGTGGAACTCTGCGCATACTACTTGACGGTTAAAGATAGGATCACTTGGGCACTGAGCTCTGCCAGCAGCGCTTGACCGCTGTGTCAAACACTGTTCGCGGAGCTCATTAGCCAAGGGATCATGTCGATGCGTGCCAAAAGTAGTGCAGAGCATTCACCATATCGGGTCCACCGTATTTTGATACTTCAGGGTGGATCCCGTCGGCACTGGCATACTTGCCGTTTTGTAGCTGAGCGAGTGCTGTCTGCGTCTCATCCAGCGTAGTTGTGTCGGCAAGGCACAACTTCAGCTCTAGTTGTTACAGCCCGTGCAACACAGTCCAGCACTGAACGGTTTTTCAAGATATAGTCAAAGTGCCTTCACCAGATCTGCGTTCTGTCTGCAGTCTGTGTGCAGCCAGTGCCTGAAATGGCATAGAGCAGCGTCCTCGTTTACCGCAAGCTCAGTCCATACACCGCCTTCAAGGAGTCAACAAATTTCTTGTGTTGGCGGCGTTCAGCGTGGCATTTCATCTACTTTGCCTTCTCCGTCCACCGTGCATTTTTAATGTGACGGAGCTCTCGGGTCAGTTGCCAACGAATTTTTCGAAATTGGCTTTTCTTCCGCAACTCACTGGGGTCTGCCACGTGTGCAGCAAATGCTGCCTTCTTATGAGACACCAATGCTCCAATCGTCGCAGTTTTGTCAACAAACCAATTGGACCGCTTACATTTTGCAGTATATGCTGTTCTCGTATCCCACAGGGTCACAAGTGTCCCTTGAGCGTCCATAGTCCCTCCCGTGGTTGATCATACAAGCCAGGCAAGTAAAACAAGCGGCCCACAAGCCGTATTCAAGCCTTTGGAACGACTGACGCGGTCCACACAAAGTATACCGAAATTTTGCCACTTAACAGCAAAAAAACCGTTTTTATGATTTAAGTTGGATAAAAGAACCTCGTTTGCAGAAAGTCGGCAAGCTTTTCTATATTCACTATGATTTTTACACTATGTAATAGCCAGCCACCTTTTAGTAGTTTTTAAAATGCACAAGATATACATGAATGCAGATGGGAGGCAAGCGGGTAAAGACTCCTAGAATTTACTTATGACGTTCACTTTTAACACTACATCGATGCAACAAGCATTCCCTGATCATGCATATCCCACTAAGAACAAGGCTGGCTGGTCAACACTTATTATCTCCGAGTAAACTCAGAACGGTACAGACATTTTAGCCGGAAAGATAAACAGTTGTCAGTAAAAACAGGTGCCAAGCCTCCGGAAACACCCATGTACAAATGAGCATTTTGAACGCTTATGATGTAGGTACAACGCATTTGTTTCTGCCACCCGCAAAGCTATGATGCTGTTAAACATTTATTTAGTTATTCTTTTGTTAAGCTGCTTCCTTACCTTGCATTTATCAATGTGTTTAGCCGCTAAGTCTAATGTTGATCAATGCAATATATATATATATATATATATATATATATATATATATATATATATATATATATGTCTTCAGTTAGCTGCAATGTGCGGCCCTTATGACAACAAACTGTGCCCATGCGGCCGTCTGGTGTTTCTGAGTTCTACGTACGTGACCTAGTGTGAAATCAACTATACACATTATTATTATTATTATTATTATTATTATTTAGCTGTTTGCTAGCAGACTTTGTATGGTCCCCCACTGCAACCGCTCAAACCTAACGTGCTTTGCAAAAGCCATGCAACTGTTTGTCGGTAGAAGTTCTTCACTTCTGATCCTAATCACATTCATCAGCTCATCCGTTAATCGTGATGTCCCACGCACTGTTTTCCTATTAAACTTAGAATAAAAGGGAGCTATCCCCATTTCGATGAGCCAGTGTATAAAAGCTAGCTTCCGAATGACTCAAGAATCCAATGCGTTTCCACTCAATCAATGCACAGTTATCTTGCCAAATCAGCTTAGTATCATGGATATCCTACTCTTCTCCTCACAGGCAACGGTGCACTACCCGAAGGGGTTGTCTGATGAACCCTCGACCGCCGTACTATTCTGGACTGCGGATGGTAAGCCAACCGTACAATGTCATGCTCCTATACAGCTGTTCTTTGCTTTCCGGAATAATAAATGGTATAATACTAATAATTGTGGAGGATATTCATGTTACTCCTCCGAAATCCGACACCCCAGGACGGCTTTCGTCCTCTGTTGGGCTCATCAGTTAGAGATAGCTTGAGCATGATGTAAAACATGGAGCCTAATGGTTAACGGTTAACGTCTTGGTGACCAGACCACTGAGATCACTAAGCAACGCTTCCTGGATGTGTGACTGTTTATTCATATGAAATGGACAGATCATTAGTACAGTTATGATTATGTTTATGCATGTATGAGACAGGTATTCATTAAATGCTGTGTTATTAAAAGATTCTGAATTAGATGGTTTATATTGAAGACAAGGAGTGTGCAAAAGATTCATGCCATGAGTCAAATGTTCTTCTTTTCATACTGGAAGAACTCCTTCATTGATTTTTCTGTCTAGCACTTGGCTATAATGAAGTTCTGGTCCAGGGAATCAAGTTTAACATGGGGAATATGCAACATTTACACAAGATCTGATGGTGAATCGTGAGCTATTCCACAAGAAAGCGTATCGGATGAGGAAGCTGTTGTACCAAATAGTTGTCATGCTTCTTCGCTGTATGATCTGTGGCAAACATGGACACAGCTTCTTACTTGCTGAGAAATACAACTAATATTTGTGACGTTACATAATAAAAATTCATTAATGAGTGGTATATTCTCCATAGAAGGAGGCGCGCCGGTGAAGACATTAGCCAATTCTGTCACGAAACTTACGAACAAAGTCATATTAGACTTTCAGTGTGAACAGCTTGGAGTATCTCATCTGGTTTATCCGATTGCGAATATGTATCAAGTTGCGTTGCAGTCTTTGAAATTAAAGTGGCTCCAAATGGAAGTGCTAGCCGCTCTTCTGGTATTTCCAGACGCTTACTGCATGTTTCTGTAGGTTGTTTAATACTCTTCTTGCACGCATACTCATGCTCCCATGAAGGATGCTACAAGTTTTACTTCGCAAATTGTAGAGGTGCGGATCTCTGTGCAAGATGTATTCGCCTCTCCCGAGGAGTACGTTGCCATCAATTGTTCTGGAGTAGTGGGGACGAGTGGTCCATATCAGAAGCGTTTGGAATGGAAACGGAACGATGGGACACCCATTCCTGATGGTGCCTCTGTTGAAGTGGTTTCCACTGCGACGTCTGAAAACAATTGGACGGAAATTGTGAGTCTGCAATTCGACCGAATCGAGCCGGGACAAGCAGCCACGTATGCGTGCTTCGTTAGACCTTCAGTAATGGAAGTACTTGGAAAACCGGACTCACCGCCCACTGTTCGATTGGTTATTAGTGGTGAGCAGTGCATTTTTCGGTGTCTCCTTATCTAACGAGACGCAGTTAAGTTATGTCTGTTTCCCGTAGGTCCCGATTAAATGGATTGCTCTTTTTCATTATCAAGTATAACGGGTATTCAAGTGAAACCGCACGTTACGAATGCAACCGAATAATCTACACATTTTCGAGTACACCGTATACATCTTGACTAGTGAATCAATGGTCTGTGACCAGTGCATACTACAACGCTTCGTTTGTGCTGTAGGATATCCATGCTTTGAGCCTGAAATTCAAAAATCCTTGTGTCAACTAACTGAAATGATTGTTGCTGAACTCATATTAATGCTCACATAAAGATTCATTTAGTTAAAATACTTCACGCTTCCTGAATTTCGTGAAACTTTTATTGAAGGGGAATGCGGCAACTCATGTGGTTTTAAGTCTGTGATAAAACAAAAAGCCTATAACATCAATCCTGTAGGTTCTATGATGTAATCTCGATGAAGTGAAGAGCGAAGTAGAGACGCCCTGCCGTTACATACTACACTAATCTTGTATACTTGTACGCATCAAAGCGAGCTACTCGCAACTACCCGCAGTCAGGCTGTCAGTGAGTGTCTGGCGAAGTAGTGGACGGTTACCTCCTCTTCACTTGTGATATATATTCCTTGGGCCAGTTGCGAACAGGAGCTTAAAACTCCGGGTCAAGGAGCATGCGGACGTCAGGTGGGCTTACGTAACTAGTTGTGATCATGCACCACATTAAGCCTCGAGTGAGCCGAGGGAATTCGCACTATCGACGAACCATGGAGGAAGAGGAACTAACCTTGCAGCACTTTGCTGGGTATCGGCAGCTGCGAGTTATTGCACCCAAAACTTCTATTGTGAGTAATAACTGGGTTTGAGTGGTATAAGTAGAAGGTCAGCACCTCGGATGGAGTCTAGATGTGCTAACGAAGCTAGAAAGGATGAAACTGCCAAGCAGTGCTTTTCCAGGCTTACGATCGCTATTCGATTGACTCTATGTGTGATGAAAGTCGATTTATATCATTTGAAGCCCCCATTACCCCTTGCAATCATTTGTCAGATCAAACTGCTTATAATACCATAAGTTAATTGGTGGCTTAAGTTTGGTAAGTTCTTCGCTTGGTGAGGCGGCTACCTTGTCCTGTGCAAGCTAGTGTTGTGCAGCTCAGTGGGTAGTTGACGGCACTATATCGCATCTAGTAAATCAGTCACGGCGCTCGGTACCGTCTCCCGTAGCTTAGTGTTCTTAACCCCAGATCTGAAACAGTCGAGTTCTTGGCTCGAACCCCACTGGTATCAGATGCAATGCGCACTGCTGGTGATTCCCGAAGGGATGAAATAAGCGTACAGTGCTTCTCCGGGCGAGTCATAGCTTCCGATCTGACTCGAGATGTGATGACCCACGAGTTATACATTCTGATTGTGTTAGGGGGGCCAAGAGTTTCTCCTGCAAATACTCAGCTTCTAACCAAACACGCTGAATTCAAAGCGTAGCAGATTATGACAAAAGATAATTGCAATAGCTGTTAAAAATGTGTTCCGGTTGCATTAATGGTCCTCCTCTGGATCCCCTTCTGAGACAGCAGTGGTCAGTACACTGAAAATTGGATCTAAATCCGTATGATGCGGTCCAAATGATAACCACCTTCTGGTACTTATTCAGCAAGCCAGAAGAGGGAGACATTAAAGTCTACTCGAACACTTTTTCCACAGCGTAAGGCCTCGCCGTCTTCTTAAAGCAACAGTCTGTTAAAGTTCATTGACGCAAGGTTATGCTAACGTCACGCAATATAGTTGAAACCTTGAGTTTTTGTCTTTGAATAATGTGCTTCTTTTGAAGATACTCTAGTCTATATCAAATAGTTCAACACCACTAGGCTACCTAACTGTACTACAGAATTGCTCGAGTTTTCAGCGTTTCATTAACTCTATGTAACATCAATAGTCCGGAAAACCTTAATGTTTTACTGTGTGTCTTTTGTTTGGAAGAGTTGGAGTTGAACGAAGACTCCCGTGTAGCAGCGGGTGGTGAAAATGTTGTAGTTACGTGCGAGACGAAACAATCAAGTGAGCTCGTTTGGATCGCACCCTGTGGCCGTATCATTCCCGGCGAGCCGCACGAAAGCAAACCATACGCGATCCATAAAAGTTCCCTCGAGTCAGGCACCTCATCGATTCTGCACATTCCAAGCGCAAAATTCGAAGACACAGGGGATTACGTTTGTTCCGAGAAAGGCAGCAATTCAAGTCGGATCTTCCGACTACGAATGAATGAAGGTGGGTTGGAGGTTTAACAGACCATGCCCGGTTTGTCTGATCCTATTTCGACGCATTATATTCTGATATGTCTTTACTACTTGCATTTATTAAGTAGATATATAAAAATAATAATGAAGTTAACCAGCAGCGGGTATGTGGACGACCATCTGGTTTGGAAGCTGGCTGCGAAGAACTTTAACTAATTATATCAAAATCCCCTAATCATGCTTACATCGAAATATATCCGCTCTAACAGTTTCTAAATGCTATGCCGTACACAGCTACTGTTACTGGACGTCGTGTCTTTCGGGGCCAACCCTGTCCTCTACAACGTTCGTAACTTGTATATAGTGGATGATAAGACGCACTATATCGCAGTTAGCTTGCGAATCATGACTGTCCGAAGCTGTCCCTCATGGCCCAATGGCATAAGCTGCTGACTGGCGGTTCAAGCCGCTGGTGATCATGGGTTCGAATGCTGATGGATCCGATGGATGCGCACTACTGACGTTGCCCGACAGGCTGAAACTGCAGTCTAGTGCTTTTCCGGGCTTGCGGAACACCATCTGATTTGGATACAGGCTGTGACGAACCTCAACTAATTTGAAATAGTTGAGCATGTCCGTCGTTAGAGGCGTGGATTTGGATTTCGTGTTGTTCTCTGAGATGCTTGACTATTTTCAGGCGGTTTGTTGCCAGCCTAAACAACTCCGTCCGTGCGACTTCAGGGAGCTGGATCCCAGAGTCTCGTAAGCGACTGAGATTAAAGTGCTGATCGATCGGTGTCGCCTTTGTGCACTAGACATCAGTGGATTCATATGCTGTTCGGCTTTTTGTGCCTCAGAGGATTTTGGGGTTAATCAAGTAAAACTGGTGACTTCAATCTGGAGCACGCCAAAATCCTCGGAATGACACAAGGCCGGTCGACACGTGAGTTCGTTGAAGTCTGGTATGCAAAGCAGAACTCGATCAGTAGACAGTTGAACTTTTTGTATCAGCTAACGAGGTTTGGCTAACCCCAATTCCTTTAAGCTGCACTGAAGATGTTGCTTAGGCTGATAAGAGAACATCTGTGTACTAAGCATTCAGGTTAGATAGAAAGGCAAATTGCACAACCTGATAAGCTATTGGTTCCCCTCTTTTGACTCCAAACTAATGTCCAGTACTGATTTTGCAAATTAATATATATTTTGTTTGTGTGCAATAGTAGCTTACCGAACACTCAATCGACTTCACTTTATTAGTAGACACATTATGATTATTTATATGCTACTGTTATTATTCGGTAGTGTTATACATTAACACATTTTGCTGACATGTTCCGATATCGACCAAAATGTGTCCACTAACAGTTCGTTTTCGGCTCAAATGCAGTTGGGTCGCATGTCCTTTTCATTACAGAAATACACATCGAACAGGACAAGGGCAGTTCCAGAAAAGCCAATTCTCGTTTACATTTACGCTGTGAAGCAACATTGGGTGAAATGGGGCAGCACGTATCATGGTATCGGCGGCAAACGTCAACTGCACCTTGGGAATCGATCAAGCGGCTGATGGACGAAGATGCTTCAGTATCGGTAAACAGTGAACCCGCTGGTAATCAGCGAAACATACTGTCTTCACTTCAACTGACCAATACACCTGGAACTAGTGGGGAGTTTGCGTGTGTTATCGAATCACGTACTGATAACAAGGAGGATGATGATAGTGGCACTGCGGCGGAGCAAGTACATCAGATTCCAGGACCAAGCGCTAGCATGGAAATTGCCTATGAACCAGGTGAGTGGATGCACCGATTGTCTACAGAAGGACAGTGATTCCGCGGAATAGATCAACTGATACTAGACAATCAAAGTAGAGCGAGCATGACCAATACATCCTCAGCTAAATAGCAATGAAATAAATATTAAGAGCAGCGTTGTTACTTCCCTGGGTGGCTCAAATCACAACGTTACCTTTACACACCAACCATACTCCTACCTGTATCATAATTAGGGAGAAAATATCCTTATTAATTAGCGTATTTGAGTTATCCTGTATAAGTGCAATCATAGTACTTTTCCAAAGCAACTTTTGACTCTATTTATTCCTTATCAGCACAATTGGAGCTACGTTTTATGTAAGAATAAAGAACAATTTTTAGACAACATTCTTGGTTTAGGTCAGCAAAACACACGGGGTTCTGTTTTTCCCCGTCAAACCTGCCCAGTTGCCGAAATGTGACCGATCCAAGCGGTAAGCAGCCAACAAATATAATAATATCAGTGACAAAAATAAGGGAATTACATGCCCTATCAGCGAGACGTCAGCCGACTCCTGTCTAAACTGTTCACCGTTTCATGCATTCTAGTCAGTCACTCAGTTGCGCTTAGACACCCCTCCTATACCTACCGCTTGGTATGCACACACTTACCCCTTCGCCTCATGTTTAATATTTTTGCGAGTACCGATTCTCTGACAGAAAACATGGCAACCACACAAATGTTAACTTTGTTTATATGTTTGTTAAAACACAGTGCTGGACATCGAACAAATTGACAATCAAGGACATCCAGAAACAGTGCTTCGGTGCAATGGCTACCCAGCCCATGAATCCGATCGGCTACACTGGATTTTTCTACCTCCAGGTGAAGGGGAAGACAATGCTGTTCTGATTGGTCCGTCTGCACAAACGATCAATAATGTCGATGAATCGGTAAGCCAATGAGAGGCCTGCATCAACGTTCGTGATCATGATGACTTGCGCGAATAATTATGTTTGCTTTGAGGCATAACCCTGGAGTGCTACTCTCTTATGCCTTACAGTTTGTGCACCGTGGTCTACTTTTTCAACTCTTCATGTGCACTCAATGCAAGGGATACCTCGATGTTTAACGCATTTTTCGTAGCTTAAACTCAGGTGACCCACAAATTCGGCCTTTTTCATCCATCGCATTCCCATCATCATTATACACGATAGTTAGAGGTGGGAAACACCTCAGCTACTGTACCGCAATACATAAAAGAAAAGGTAAATAAATACAACAGTTGCATGCCAGCTGAACTACCAGAAACGAATGAGCATTGTTCCGTTAAGCTACCTGTCGGCTACTGTGCATCAAAAAATTACTATGGAAAAGTATATAAGGCTAAACTGGGAGTTCGTGGTTGGAGGGGGAGGCTAAGAGGGATGCTGTGTGACAAAGAAACTCAGAGCACGAACGCCACAGAGATCGGCTCCTAGCCATATCAGCAAGTGTGTCCAACCAAACGTGTTCATCGTCTTTCGGACCCCAATCAGGGAGCCGAGAACCTCCAACCGAGGCCAGCTCGGAAGTGAGGGCCTTCATTCCTCTCAACCAAATCATCGCTTGGCCACCACTCCTCTTCTTCCATCCACACCCCCAGCTTGCAAACAAAGCACGTCGAGGGATTCGGTGGGCTGGCATGCGTAACACGTGGCCGAGCCATCGAAGCCTGATGCGTGAAATAACAGTGCTGAGCGGTTCAGTTCCCTTTCCTTTGCCGTAAACAAGGCGTCGAACACGCTCGTTGCTCACGCGGTGTTCCCACCAGATATGAGCTAAATTGCGAAGGCACCGATGATCGAACGTAACTAACCTCTTTATGTCCCTTGATCTAAGGGAGCAGGTTTCCCAACCTTACAGTAGGGTCGAACGTACCGCTGCACTGTACACTCTACCCTTCAGGAGAGAGTGTTGTCGCGCCGGTGCCAAAAGTGGCGACCGTTAGCAAAAGCGCCTCAAGCTTTTGCTTTACGGTTCGTGATCCCATCTTCAATCCCATGGGCGCTGATACAACTTCCCAGGTAGTTGAATTTTTGAACGACTTCTAGCTGATCCCCACCAAGGGTCAGCGTAGGAGAAACACTTTGAACTCCGAGGGTGCGAAGCAAAGCCCGAAGTGACGGACAGTCAGTGCTAATCGGTCCAGTACCGCTTGGAACGTTTGTGAGCTATCACAGATTAGGACAATATCCTCAGCATACTCTAAGTCAATAAGTCGTTCTCCTGGGAGTAGCTCCACACCTTTGAAGTCGTGTCCTGTAAACACGATTTCCATGACTTCAGCAATAACGAAGTTGAAGAGGGAAGGTGACAGAGCGCATCCTTGTCGCACACCGCTGAAAACATTGAAGGATGACGACAGTTTACTGGAAGACCTAACTCTGGCCGAGCTACGCGCGTATAATGCTAAATTTCGTATGTGCACTTGTATGAAGTCACGGCACTGCCTGATTACTAAACTGGTGTGGTTGTGAATACAGCCGTTATCGCCGTTCTCGCGGCTTTGGAAGCCACACGATTGTTATAAGGCGAGACAAGTGGCTTCGCACAATTTAAACAGAACTGACTACCACCAAGCCATATGACTGATGTATTTGCCAACTTGAATGACCATTGCACTCGTCTGGCTTGTATCCAAGTTTGCCAACCGCCAATTGGACGCGATACACGCTACAAGTTGCTACCAGGACAGCGGGTCGCCATTATCCGAATTATAGATCAATTTTCTATTCACCCTTGTTTAAGTTTTACTCTACTTCTATTTGTGCTACTTGAGCATAAACAGTGGAAAATATTCCTTGTGACCAAGCAGGATATTCTTTGTTGGTCAAAGATAAGTGTGACTAAAGCTATCAGGATCAAAGCATTTGAAGTACAATCCACCGTTTCATGGAGTGCGATTAGCTACCTAGAAACCATTGGTCACATTATTATGAAGTCCCAGCTTAATCCTTACTGTATTAGACGGGGCACTTTAATCGGCTGTGCTGTTCTCACTGAACATCGTTCTTACAATCTCGCTTTGGATACATTCGATTTCTAGGAATAAATCAACACTGACCTTATCAAACTATTCCCAAGGTCAAGGCTGTTGTCTTTCGCCTACTTTGTGAAGAAAACATGATACTGCGAACTTGAAGATCGGTCTTCTCGATTGGAAATCTAACTTGCAGCGTATGCCTCCCAACAGAACTTAGCCTTAGTTTACTATCCGGAAAAGCTAATTTGTTTACCGCTGTACACCGATCGTTTACCCAAACTACACCTGTACACACTGTCCTTTTCCCATTCAGGCAACTTTAAAGCTCTGATATGGTAGTTTAGCTCATCCGTAGTCGATTTTGTAGTGCTGAAAACTGCCCATCTGAATACGTAAAGCTTATTTTGACTTGGCTTGATTTTGTTAAATCGTTTACTACTTCTTGGTAGTAAGTAGCTTAACCTTATGATGTCAAATTTAAACTCCGGTTAATCAAGCGGTGCGAACACTGGTGCGCAATCGATCGATTTACTGAGGACTTCGTGGTACTAAAACAGAACAAAGGGGATAATTTAATCTATCGACAATACCCATCATTGTGTGTTCAAAAACAGCTGACTGTGACACAGCCTGCAGCGGTAGCTATGAAGGCGTTAAGCGGAAAACAGTTGGCCAGCGATCGATTTCATGTGACGTTTTGAATCCTTTGCACGTAGCCAAAGGACGTGCAAGAAATGACAGCCTTCGTCCACTGTTATTCCTATTTAGCGTAGAGTCAATCGTCTAATAGCGTTTGAATACTTACTACCCATTGTAACGTTTACCATGCGCTTCTCACTTTTGTGACATTCACAGCCAAGCCATGTGCCTCTATATAGAAAATTACCTTACCTTGTAAATACAGATTGATAAACGGGGCAGGAAAATTGTACTATTCTAATCTAGTGTCAGTTAGTTGCAGGTAACTATAAGTGCAAATTCACAGTACGAACAATGGCTGTTGGTTCAGCAGCTATTCTCCATTTCCTAGGGCCTTGTTGAGGTCGATTCATCATGTTATACAAATCTCTATCTAGTTTCATAGAACACCGACTGGCCAACGAAATCAGTGCAATCGAATGAAACTGTATATACCGTGTAGATTCTTTAGTACGACTTTCTAGGGTTCCTAAGCAGATCGATGTAGTTCAAAGGCGTTTTCTACCACTGACAAAACAAAACTGAGCTGTGTGCTTCTGCGTCTTTTATCTCTGTATCACTGAACGCCGGAAAGACCCTTGTTGCATGTGGGAAGCACACCCACCCTAGCTCCGATTATGGATGGACCTTTACCGAAAGTTCTTTTTGAAAACAAGACGCGAAGTTGCTCACTGTACAGTGCCTTGCATCAGCAGCAGAAAAGAAAAGAAAAGCATCAGCAGTACACTGGTACACAGTGCCGACGCTTCGCTGCCGCGCAGTCATCATCGGTCGCATGTGGGCTAAGTTCACTGCCAGTGTCGTCTTGCCCCGTCAGATTACAAGACAACCTCGTTACCTTTAGGCTACAAGCCGGTATCAGCAGCGAGGTGTGTAGATGATGAGCTAAGAATGTTGCGAAAGTGTACCAAGATACTAATAGGATTTCTTTTAGAAGACCTAAACATGGTTCGCAAACAAGCATATGCATTATCTTGCTAGGTGGGATGTCAGTCAGTGCGCACCGGACTTTTATTCCTCAGTGAAATGAAGCGCGGCATTCATAGAGGACGAGCAAGTATAAAAAAGTGAGACTGAGGCCAATCAACATCAGCATTGTATTGTGATAAGTAGAGTAAGTTGTTCGCTGCTCCTGCGTCGATGTATAATCGCCAGTAGTTAAGTGAAGCTAAAGTTGAGAGTTATCTCTGTGGGCAATTTCCTATCCAATTCATTAGTGGCTGCGATTCAGTCTTTCCGTTGAATTCAATTATCGACTAGCCATGTGAATAAGGTTACGGAATTAATATCACCAGTACGTACAATTACGCACATAAAATGTGTGCCTACTGATACGTCCTAGCCTCGGTAAGTAAAAGTTCGAGAGTGGTATGTGTGCGTGCATTCGTGTGTGCCTGTATGAAAGTATGGTGTTCTTTAGCCTTAGTGAATTAGGGCTTGAACGTTGGGTGAACATGTGACACCTACTAGGCATGAGCCCGTTGCGTACGACTCTACGTACATTTGGCTCAGAATTGCAAAGACCATAGTGCGATCACCTCTCGTGTAATGGATCACTAAGACGATCGTGTGCTCTAATAGCCTATTCCATAACTGATGATTTCACCATACACCACATTTCGAGAACAAATGGCCAGATACAATCTCTCCCTTAGCTTAATGGAACAATGTGGAACACCAAGCGGTTTTATCCACTCCGAGTTATGGCATAACAAGTTTAACATTTTCTCGCTGTCTTCCATCTCGTTTGCCAGACAATGGCAGCCATTCGAGCGACTTTTCGTCTCGGTGACAGCGCTCCGGCCACTTGGCCTGGTGCATCGGGCCCCTTAATGTTGGCAGCCTCCAAGTCGATTGTATCCCAAGAGGATGAAGCTACCTCATTCACTCCAGAACGTTTGGAGCTGTTCATCACCAAGGACCCGGAGCGCGGCCTGGACGAAAGGATTCGTGACGGATCACTGGTGTGTCAGTATCGACGTCCGGAAGCGGTTATTCTCATGAACGAAGGAGTGCCTGTAATAGCGCTACGGAAATACGAACCAGACGCACACGTGATCATGGCAGAAGAGATCGTTCCAGTGAAAGAATTATCTAGTGAGTCGTACTCGATTTCTCCACAGTCAACTTCTCTTCTGTGATTTTTAGGCAAAATACACATTTTACGTAGCATTAGTGGGATTCGATACAACTTCATTGGAGTAGGATATAACGACGAGTTTCTGGGTGGTCAAAATAACGCACTAGTGTGCAAGGTTATAAGAAATGATCTCGAATTGATCTCAGTTATTCCTATCAGCCTCATTTTGCAATGTTATCCCTTTGGCCTTAATATATGATCATCTCTATGTCCCCCGGTTTAAGGTGGACCTTGTAAGCAAAATCTTTAAGTGACATCACACCACTTGAATTTTGATCTCCATGTAGCCCATGCGAGTTCGAACGTTAGTTTACTACCGCGCATCAAGGTGAGAGGCTGCGGCTAATTATTATTCACTTGCCGTCAGCTCAAACTGTGTCGTGCAGCATAAACTTGCGTTGCGCGAGTGCAGATAGAGGTGGCTGGACGACTTGGTGAGAAGTGGGGCTATATTTGGTGAAAACACGTAGGATCGGATGTAAGCAGTTGTGGAGGTGCAGGCGACGCAAGCTTGGCTCCCATTCCCTCGGACACATTAAAACAACACAAAGTGAATAACGGAACTCGTAAAATATGCAATGAGATGAGAGAAGTAGTGTTTATATTTCGTAATCGCAATGGATGAAATAGGAAATAGTTGAGTGGTAGTACTAACGATAATGGTTTAAAAAGATGTACATAACACAAGCTAGGTGTACGAAAACCGTCAGAAGGAGAAAACGAGAAGGGGTAGAGTACTCGGAACATCGAGAGCTGCGACAAGATGCGAAAACAGCATGTCCTGGTGATAGTGGTAGTCGCAATGCGATGTTTATTGTTACTAACGATGAGATTAGCTGGCCGTGTTTGATCGCAGTTCGATGAACAAAGTCGGGCGTCATTGGTCACGCGAGACTGGCACACGCGAAAAGAAATTTCTACGGCATTCAAGCCGGCTATACTGAATTGTCTGTTTCAGAGGATGACCTCTTAGTTTAGTGTTGTGGTTCAATTCAGCAGCGGTCGGCATATGTGGTTTGGGTTCTTCAGAATATGATAAATCATTATGAAATCCCCCGGCAAAAGTCGATATCGCCTGCTGTACATTATTGGAGATTTCAGCCTAAGCTGATAGGGTAGATGAAAGGGGTTCCTGACGCTCTTGGTTGCTCTTCGTCGAAGAGTCTCGAGAGCAACGAGATCCAGTTTCTGCCACGGCTGCCATGCCTGGATAGCATATTCCACGCACGGGCACACGTAGGGATTAAGCAGTTGGGGTAAGATCAAGGGTTCAAACCGACCGAAGGCTAAGCGAAACAGGTCGAAGTGTTGCTTTTCGGTTCTCATCGCCTTCTCTGCTTGTTTTGAACACCAGAGATCTTCCTTTACCAGTACACTCAGGTCACGTTGCTGAGAAGCCTTCTGCAAGTCGTGGTCTCCAAGCTTGTAAGCGCTTACCGGCTGGTGACGCAGATGGATCACCTTGCACCTAGCTATGTTCAAAGGAAGCATGTTCCTCTTTGAGCATTCATAAATGCAATCTAGCTCATGTTGGATTACATCGTGATCTTCATTGTTACTAATAGTCCGCCATATCTTGCCATCATCGGAGCAAAGCAGGAAATTCTTCTTGCCAGGTCTTTGATAAACACAAGGAATAAGCGCGATCCCAGCATTGAGCTGCGTGAGACACCACATTCTACCACAATTAGGTTACAGAGTGATCCCCTAACACGTACTTGAAGCATCCGTTGGTGGAGGAAGTTGCCAATCCAACAAAGACAGGATCTCCAATTCCGTAGCTATGTAGCCGGTGAAGTAGGATGTGGTGATCCAGGCGGTGGAAAGCTTTGGATAAGTCCAGATACTTGACTTCAACTCCGACCCCATCAGCAGCTACATCCGTTTAATTACCTCGTGCAATCAGTAGGTAGGTGGTGCATGACCCGTGTTGACGGAAGCCATGTTGCTCCGGTGCCAATGTGTTGCATTGTAGTTCAAGCTCAGCTACTTTCGTTTCCAGTTACCACGCATGCATAGAAAACTCCCACTGGATACTCTGTAGAAAATGAACCATCACGGTGAATAACTGATTAGTGATAATCAGGATGATGGTAATGCATCATGCTCTGATTTACATGTTACTCATAAGAATGATCATAACAGTATTGCTCATTGTTCGTTTGCTGTATGGAACTTAGCTAAGCTTATGAACAGGCAGAGGCGTCTGCTAAAAGTGGAAGTGGAATCTCCCAGGGTTAAGTCATCCGTGATGTTACGTTATTGCCTTCGCATAATTACCCAGCTAGGAATCAACACACACCTAACCTTGATAAAGTGAGCCGATTGGCTGCACCCGAGACGTACGATGACAGATCGTTATCAAATGGGTTATCGTTGCGGCAGTCTACACAGCTGCATCTATCAGCGTTTGTGTAAGCGTACTTGGAACACTGGCATACTACTTCTTGGAAATTTGCTAAACAGTTTTAATACCTTTTCGAACACTTTGTGGTTGACAGTTGAAAGCAGACATGTAGTTGCTGTGTTATGGCTGTGGTCGCGTCAAAATCGCCGCAATGCTTAAGGCTGATCAAGAGACGTTCTTTGGGAATCCGCACGTACCTCGAACAACAGACGAGCGGACCGGTCCAGTCTTAAGCGGCGGCGACACAGGAAGACTGAAGTTAACACACCCCGTCGCATTCTCATGCTGTGCGACCTCCATCAGCTGCAAGCCCGCTTTCACATATAGGAGACTGCATATACTGTACATACTAACAAGTCATCACTGTTTTATTCTACAAATTGTATTACCCCACCTGGCAACTGTATTGTTTCGTTATTCCCATATCTGTCTCTATCTAATGCTGATGTCACTTAGGTTCACGGCTACAGTTTAGGTAATCACCAACAGTCCTTAGTGGACACTGTTACTTGGGCGTGCTTTTTGTCCTACATTGGAGAGTATGACTGTTAATCTTACCTCTAATGCCAGCTTATGTATGTTTGTGTTATTATTTTTCGTGTGGGTTCATGTTTATCCATTCAGTTCTTGCCCGTGCATACACAACTGTGGACAAATGCACGCGAGTGTATGTGATTATACAGGATTCGCACTGCAAATTTGTAATAGCCCCGATGGAGCCTAGCGAAGCATATGATGTAGCTGTTGTTTCCGTCGGGTTAAACGCGACTTCCTGTCTGTCGGGCTGGCCTGCCTCGTAATCAGAGGACACGGGTTCGAGTGTGCATATAGGGGCTGAGCAGCCCTCACAGTATTCGTAGCCCAAGCGCGACTGTTGGTGGTTGCACAGTAGCAAAGCGTCGGTACTGCGTACCGGCGTACTACTGATATATTTAACTACCGGTCGGAAGTGCTCTTTATACATTAGACCTTCCGTGTGATATGCTATGTCTGGCTGCGCATTTGTGAATGTTGAAAGGGTGCCTACCTGTCTAACATCTTCCACCTCGATTAAACTACCTGAGGGAGACTGAATCGCTGCTGGAGTCCAAAGGTCCACCGTGCACGTGACGGTGCTGGACTCAAAGAGCTGTTCCACCCAGTGTGGAACCGGCTGGGGACAAAACACCTTGTACGCAGGATTCCCCAACTATGCCTGTGTGCTGTTGTGCATGTTTAAGGAATGTAGGCCAGCTCCGTTGAAGAAACCTGGCTCCCATCTACATGCCTCTTAGTCTTATTCCTTCGGGTTCACACCGGAGATGGGGTGTGTGGATGGAGCTGTGGGTGGTGCAGCGCGTCACCCATGGTCTGAGTAGGTGCAGGCGTCATGTGGCTATCCTATGATGCCGCTGTGATGGGTAAATCCGGCATCGGATACCGCCAACCAAGGTCTTACCGATTCGTTCAGTAATTAGAGCTATGACGTAACCATCAGGAGCGATACAACTACATGGATAACCGAACCTATCGATTATTTCAAGTAATTGTTCGAACTTAGTGCGACGCCATCTGACTTTTTTATGTATGGGACACACTCCCGTGCGTCAATTTATTCAGCGGTGCTTGCGTAGTAAATGGAACCGACAGAAATGATGTCATTTTGCCTGCGAATTACAGTTTGTCATCGGTTGCCCGATAAAAGTTTACCCCTGGACATAATAATGTCGGTACACAAGAAAGCGATACGTTATTCGTGAGGTCAACTGAGAAGTTTGAGGACAAGAGAGAGATGGTAGGACGGACCGGTATTCCAGGGGCCGCATGACGAAAACCTTGGAATAGAAAGAACTTCTTTAGGCAAGTTTGAAGTACGAGACAAGTTATTGCGTAACTGTCAAAGGCAGAGCTGGTGTGTTGCTCGTCATGGGAAGGCGTGACCTGGAAATTACTTAACTGGTTCGCTTCAGAAAAGGCTACTTGAAATGACTAATGAAAACCGGTCCAAGGAACCTTGTCCCATCTTTGATTAAACTGAGGTACACAGTAATCTTAACTAATACCTCGCACACTCCCTGTCGTTTTACGTGGGCTCGACCGACGTAGATCACTTACCAAATTTTGACATTCGTAGAGGCCATTTTGCCTCAATTCAATGAAAGCCACACATTGCTTGTGGAATTAGCCTTCAGAGAATTAGAGTATAGACTGAGCGATCATCCTAATTCCGTGAGTAAAGAACGGTATCGGTTTATAGTGCAAATACATTTTAGGTAGAAATTCCGAGCAGGAACTCTTCGCCATCTCAGGATGTGATTGTCTTGTGTTTTCGATGTAGAAAATCTCGACACATAGCAGATTACAGAGGAGTAGTAGGGGGAGTTGAATGTTATAGGTAGAAATTCCTCACATCTAGGCTCATTCAGGCGGCCGTCACACGCCTAAAAAAGCACTGTCCGAGTGTTTCGTCAGCAGTGCGTATTCCATCGAACCCCGTTAGGGCTGTAACCCACAGTTCGACTTTTGCCAATCCGTGGTTGAGACCATTGAGCTACGGGGGACGGCAACGACCACCGTAAATAAGTTACTAGATGTGATATAGCGTCGATCACTATCTACTGACTTACACCTTACCATCGTGCCAATGCATGAGTGAGTCTAGATATGATGAATTTCTACCTATAACTTTTAACTCCCTCTACTTCTCTTCTGAAATACAGTTTAATCCCTGTTTCACTGAAACGCACTTTCAATGTCGGATTCCTGCCTGCCATTTTCCTGAATTCATTGGTTGGCACTCGTTATTCGTTTGCGGATGTCTGAACCACTCTTGATTGGAACAAAATCGCACCTTATTCAGAATGACCACTATTTATTTATTTGTTTATTTAGTTGTTTACTTAGCCCTATTGCAGTAGGTTCACACGGGGCTTGCAAATGTGATTAGCTTGTGCTGGCGGCGCAGACTGGCTTTCTATCTGCCGTGTCTGGCTGTTCCCCTCGTTCAATCGATCAGCTATCATCGCAACATGTGCCGTCCGCTCTGTGTCAGTGTTGCGTGCGGGCTTGCCTTTGTCCAGGACCGAAAGCTTCCCTGACTCACAACGCTGTAACCCAATTCCCTATGCGTCCCGTGTACGTGTGGTCAACATTCACTCAGGGCACCGACTGAATTCCAGTCCACGGGCCGCGCGTCAGTTTCGTTCGCGTAACTTGCCAGCTATCATCACAATGCGCACGTATTCGGCGGTGTGATTTTGCAACCTCGCCATACTCATACCCTTAGTCATACTCCGTATGATTATAAAACATTAAAACCGTAACATTATCTGACAGTGGATGACGTGTTCCCTCAGCTTCTTCTGAAGTTTCTTGGTGGAATCGACGAACATTTTTTAAGTAGAACAGCGCGACCGAGGTATACTACCTTGGTAGTTTACTATGACTGAAGCAGCGAGATGTACGTCTGTACTTCCATTGCGAATACCTTCACAACATGTTTCGTTCGTTTAACAGTTCCCTATGAGATTATCTACGGCCTTAGTAGATGATTACCGGAATAATTTCCTTTCTTGTTTCCGGTACTTTTTCACCTTAGATAAGTACTCCCATAAAGTTGCTTTGTCGGGATCTGGGCTGAGCGCCATATCACAAGAAGGTACAGAAAACGTTGCATCCCTTCGAAGCACACTCTCCCGACAATGGAGCCTAATCTACCTGATTTTATTCCGATTTCTTTGGTATTTGTGAGTACTGTCATTTACTTGCTTGTCCCCCTTTGTCAACACCGCGTGACCTGTACTCATTGCATAATTGACAATCGCTTGAATTCCGGCACGTTCACAGCCCACTCCATCGGAAGATTTTGTTTCACACCGTTGGCATCCTTCTGATCCACCGTTTTCCTGGTACACAAAAGTTCCATTGTCAGGCAACTTTGCCTCATCAAATCGGATCTAGATTTATTCATGTAGTGTCCGTCGTCAATTACCTGGCTTTTCAGTCAGTGACCATTTATTTGTCCTACACATGTATTCGCTTCGAGACGACAAGTATACATGCCATTTTCCTTGTGATCTACATCGTCATAATGTGGGATTGTTCAAACCGTCTTCGCACCTGACTAAGCGATATCTGTCCACGTTAGAACATCTCTTCCCCTATTTTGATGAGACTTTCCAACAAAAACATGATTATTCCACCTTGATGTCCCTGTGGTAGTATTTAGGCAATTACACCTGCCACCACCTGCTTTTGTCATTTCCAGTTCCCCTGCCTTTTTATGTCATCATTTCCACCCTTTCATGTTGGTTATTCTGCCGGCGTTGTTCTGCTCCAAATTGGGTTTCAAGTCCGCTTTCGATTTTTACTTTCGCTCTCATGATTTGTACAAATTACTATGATAGGCAGACAAATACATAACTACTCAAAAATGTGCCGGAGACTTTGAAATGCCTTCGTCAGCTCGAACGATCATACTAGTGTACGTCATGTGGCCTCAGGTACTAATGGTTCGAATCACGAATGGGCTATGTTCCGTGTTACAAATTGTGGTGGATCCTGTTGCCTTCCGTAATATCATCAAGGAAGAGCGACAAACGGAATGACAATACAAGCGATACAATTGGATCAGCAAAAATGTTGAAATCCGCACTATAAGGAGCATGAATTCAGGACTGCAACTGAATTGGTGACTACGACATTTGCACAGCCGATTTTGAGAAGACAAATTGCATCCACCGTCGCCAGGCATTTTCTAGACTCGATCATGTCACTCAACTGATCGAAATAGGACATAAGAA